TGATTTTAATTCTTACACCAAAGGAGTCTTATGAAGGAAATTGGGGCATAATCCCACATGATGGAGATTAGGGCCTACTTTTTCTTCTATTAGACACAGGGTCTCTAATTTTATTCCTAAATCCTTAATCTATTTTGAGTTGAGTTTTGTGCATGGTGAGAGACAGGGGTTTAATATCAATTTCTTTCATAGGAATTTCCAGTTTTCCCAGCACCATTTGTTGAAGAGGCTATTTTTCTCCAATGCATGTTCTTGGCACCTTTGTCTAACATAATTGTAGTTTTGTGGGTTAGTCTATTCTGTGTCCTCTATTCTGTACCATTGGTCTACCAGTCTGTTTTGGTGCTAATACCATGTTTCACCTTCAGTCTGTGGGTGTCTTTTCCTATGAAATGAGTCTCTTGGAGGCAACATATTGTTGGGTCTTTTTTTTTTTTTTGGATCCAAACTGCTAGTCTATGTGTTTTTATTGGTGTTTTTATTTTATTAGGCCATTAACATTCAGGGTTATTATTGAGACATGATTTGTATTCCCAGCCATATTTGTTTATTTTTGGTATTTAATGTGACTTGGTTTTTCCTCTGATTAGATTTTCCTTTAGTGTAATCCCTCCCTCTGCTGATTTACATCATTGTTTTTCATTTCCTCTTCTTGGAATATTTTGCTGAGGATGTTCTATAGTGCAGGCTTTCTAGTTGTAAATTCTTTTAACTTATGTTCATCATGGAAGGATTTTATTTCATCATCAAATCTAAAACTTAGTTTTGCTGGATATAAGATTCTTGATTGGCATCCATTTTCTTTCAGAGCTTGGTATATGTTGTGTCACGATCTCCTGGCATTGAGGGTCTGGATTGGAAAATCTGCTGAGGTACGAATTAGTCTCCCCCTATATGTGACCTTATTTCTCTCTCTTGTGGCTTTTTAAGATTCTATCCTTATTCTGTATGCTAGGTATTTTCATTATAATGTGCCTTCGTGTAGAGCTATTGTAATTTTGTACATTTGGTGTCCTGTAAGCCTCTTGTATGCAGTTTTCCAATTTGTTCTTCATATTGGGAAATTTTCTAATATTATCTCATTGAAGAAATTGTGCATTCCTTTGGTTTGAAACTCTGTGCTTTCCCCTATCCCAATAACTCTTAGATTTGGTCTTTTGATGCTGTACTATAATTCTTGGATATTCTGTTCATGGTTTCTGACTTTCTTCATTGTGTGGTGAACTTTATTTTCCAGATTGTATACTTTGTCTTCATTAATTAATGTTCTTTCTTCCAAATGATCTAGTCTGTTGGTTATGCTTTCTATTGAGTTTTTTATTTGATTTATTGTATCCTTCATTTCAAGGATTTCTGGCTTTTTTTTTTTTTCAGAGTCTCTATCTCACTCTTGAAGTCATTGTTTGCTATCTGTGTTTGCTCTCTTGTCTCTTTGTTGGAGGGATCAATTTTTTTTTGCCTGTATTTGTTCATTTAGGTAATTCTTTAATTCACAGATCATTTTAATTATGAACCTTTGGAACTCCTTCTCTGACATTTCATCAACTTTGCTTTCCATAGGTTTTGTTATTATAGTGTCCTGGTTTGTTTGGGGGTACTTTCCTCCCTTATTTTTTCATGTTTTCTATGTGTCTTCATTTCTTGCAGTGTGGATCTGTGATATTACATTTTCTTCCCTATTTTTTCTTAGTACCTATGCAGATTGTTTGTACCTCACCTTGATGTTGGGCTTCCAGACCCTGTTTCCCTCTTAATGTAGCGTGTCCTTTTTCTCTGGGAGCCTTTAAAATTCTATTCTTAATCTGTATGTTAGGCATTTTCATAACAATGTGCTTTGATGTGGCTCTGTTATCTCTTCATTAAAGTGATCCTTCATTTTCTGTATTTTCTCTCTTGTACCATCCTTACATTGTTTTTTGACCTCACTGATCAGTTTAACAATGAATTCCTTTGACTTTCTTCCACTGTGGTGTCCATGGATTGTTATTGAAGTATCTTGGTTTGTTTGGGCCTCTTGGTCCCTTGCTTTTTTTTATGTTGTTTGTGTGTCTGCCCATGTAACACTATGGATTTGAGATAGTAGAGTTTCTACCTGTTGACTTATAATGTCCCTGAAGATTTCTAGTACTTCATCTTCAGGGGGAGTCTGATAATAACAACCATCAATGCAAACAATGCGCATCATTAAACCAAATAATTCCTTCTATGGAATCTACAATGTAAATTTACATAAAAATCAGAAATGATATGATCAGTTGTTGCCCATAGGAAAAATAGTAAGTTTACAAAGGATTTACAATTCTAAGTCATGAACAGTGATAGAACTAAAGTGATGTAGGATTGTGAGGGAGGAGGAGAGAAAATAGAAGTAAAAAAATTAAAGGAAGATTGAAATAGAGACTAATAGAGATTGGCTGTTAGCAGTAGGCAGGAGAGAGAGAGAGAATCAAGAGAAGTAGATATGTGAGAAAAATGTATAAAATAAACATTTTACAAAAAGTAGAAGAATGCCAGAACATAACTGAGTTATACTGCATAAATGTGCTAGTCCTCAAAATGCTGATCCATGAAAAATAATTTACTTGAAAAATGCTTGAAAGGTGAAGGAAGAAACAGATATGAATATGTGTAAGCATCCATGATCCAATCAGGTAAGTTAACAGTTCAGATAAAGAAAAAAGAAAAAAGTAAAATTTAAAAAATCTTAATTTAAAGAATCATTTATGTTGGAGTTCGAATGATTTTCAGTTTTCCTTCCCAGTTGTGTTCTGTGGGGTTACTGGAGTGTGATGGGAAATCCTGTTGGAGGAGCTCCTGGAGGTGGGGTTTAGGCTCCAGGTTCTTCACTGAATGGCAGTTGATCTGAAGATTTTAAATCTGTATATCTTCTAAGCTCAGCAGTTGCTGGTAAATGCTGAAATACTGCCCCCCAGGGATCTCCCCTGGGCTCTGCTAGCATAGTGGAGGAGCCAATCCTACGTCCCCACAGTCACTCATGTGTTTTTTGGTATTTCAGGTTTAGTCTCCAAACCAAATAAATCTTGCCCTTCAAAATTCCCAGTTGGACACCTCTTCCTAGTGATTTTTCAAGCAGCCAGTCTGGAGGGGGTGGGTAGGGAGCCAGGTGGGTTTCCCCTGACAGGTATTACCCTGTGTAAACCCTTCTCAGGTTTCTTTTCTCCTGGTAGCTTAGGGACACTCTGTGGGCCTCTTTCTGGCCAAACTTGGGATAGCCAGTAAATGGCTCCCCTAGCTGCCCATCCCCACCACAGTAGCAAAATGGTTTCTTCCTTCATCCTCTCACACTGCTAGGAGAATGGGGCTTTTTTCCTTGCATGAGGATATTGTGCAGTGCACCTCTCTGTTCAGTCAGGAAGTGTCTTTGATCCCTAATCTCTTGGTACCCAGACATGCTGAGTTTTTTTTTTTTTTTAATTGACTTATCCCTCTACATTTTTCAAGGGGGATCTTTCCAGCAGTCCCTGCCAGTGATGCACAGTGTTGGGAATTTTTCTTTATTTTATCCACTTCCTGAGTCCTGATCTGCTTTAAATGTCCAGAATTAATTCCCAGTAAAGCTCCTCTGTTTTTCTCCACCCATCTTGCTGAGAAGTCACTTGTCTTTTCACACCATGGAGCAACCAAGAAAGTGACCTTCTTTATTCTACCATTTTGGTACCTTAGGAGGGTACCACTTAAATGAAATTTTTATGACCCTGTTTGGGAAAAGGTCAGAAAAATCCTAAGTTGTGAGGCCTGCTTTAGGGAGAAAAGAGGAAGCTGATAGTGAGCTTCCTACTTCTGCAGTTTTCAAATGATAAGGTTCCATGGGATAATATATGCTAATCCCCATCACTTTCTCCCTGATAATTATTCATTCAACATATATTTGTTGAATTACTTATCATTTAATACTATATTGGGGCAAAATAGAAAACAAGACTTTGTTAGTCATAATTCATGGGTGCTAATGATGAATTTAAAAAGAACTATATTTATACATTTAAGTAAAAAGAAGAGTGATGATGCAAAGGGTCTCAGACTGCCTGAATCAAGGATTTACATACTAATAGGATTCCTTTTTTCTTAAGATATTATTTTTATTCTCTTGGATAGTCATCATCATTAAGGCTCAACACCTGGCCTTAAGAAGCTAATAATTCTCACCTCTTCTAGGCTTGCCACCCAGAAAGACTGAAAGTTCTTTCTCTCATTTTACATTTTTATGGAAGAGCGTTGCCTTTTGCTACTGGTGGTGTATCCTAGCAGTGGAACACACTTAAAACCCAATGTATAGGATTCCATTATTGATTCATCCTTGCAGAAATGCCTGCCCCCAAACCAATTATTTTGCACAGAGAGGGATAGTTTCCATTGGAACTAGATAGTTGGGGAGAGTATAAAAAACATTTCTCAGTAGAGTAGGTAGGGATGGGGTTTGTGGCTCAGTGATAGAAATCTTGCCTAACCTGTGTGAGGCACTGGGTTCAATCCCCAGCAACACATAAGAAAACTTTTTAAAAAAGAAGGTTTTGTATCCATATACAACTAAAAATATTAAAAGAGTAGGTAAAAGTACTGCACAGACAAAACAGTATGTCTACTGTAATGAGAGATCAGGCTACTTCCTATATGTAGTCTAAATCTAGTGCAGGAGTCAATCAAGTACAATAAAGTGTGCAAAGTGATAGAGAAAATGTTTGGTGCTATAGTAATGTATAATAATACATAGTTGGGGGATGAAGCAAGCCTTGGAAGTAGAAAAAAGTAGAACTAAATTAATGGCCCCTTTCTTGATGTATATATAAACTGAGGAAGAAAAAGATGTTTTTAATTATATGTGATTGTTGTTAATATTGTAATGACTTTTTCTAGCATGTATAGAATGTGTTTTTAGTAAAATTTCTAAGATAAACATTTATTTAATTAACATAATGTATCAAGTAGTGCTTTGAAATATTTTTTTATTTTTAAACTATAATCTAATATTTTCATTATAGAAACTGTAAAAAAACCATTCCATGTGAATATGAATAGCAACATAAAAATGCTTCCAAAGAAACGTGAATTAGAACTTCCAATGTCACCTCATTGTACACCTTCTAAACTCTGCCTTGATGATGTAGAAAACAAGTGAGTTTTAGTTGGCATTTACATTATTAGATGTTTAAACTGGTTATTATCAACAGTTTTATTCTTTAGAAAATTATGAGGTACTTACCTTCAAGTTGTTTTTGTTTATCTAATTATAGATATTATAAAAATGTTAGAACCTTTATCAAATGGCTGAGTCATTTTGTACACATACTTTGACTTTCCTTATCATAAAAATGTCACTGTCATGTGTAACTATTTAAAACGTCTATTTCTAATATTAACATAATTTTTATAAAATTCAGCTATATTATGACCCCAAAATGATTTATTAAAATTCTGTATGTTTTTGTATGCTGTGTAGAACATTAAGAGTTTTAAATATATAAGAAGTCATTTTTATTGTTGTTTAAATTTTAACCTTGAATTTTTCTTTTCAGTAGTATACACTATCAAAAACTAGGTAACAAGGAAGAACTTGGCCAAGTTCAGGTGAGATATTTTTTGTAAAATTTTTAAGTTGTTTTAACAATTGTGATATGTCACTGAATAATCTTAATTTTTGAATATTGGGGAAAATTAGCTATCCTTTTACAAAATGTTAGACTTTTAAAATATTCTTTTAAAAGATTTTCAGTGTAGGAAAATAATACCTTAGTATATTTTAATTGATTCCTTATATTTTAATTGATTCCTTATATCAACAATGTGACCAGGCTTATGTGTGAATAATATTTGATTGTGCTTGTTACTGAACAGCTGTAAAAGACATTTCACTTAAGGGTTCTTACCATATGATTATTGAGCAGTTCATCTCTTCAAACATATGACAAGATTATTTTATACCAAGTTGTGATGTTTAATACTCACTTTAATCCCAAGATAATTTTTCTTTCAAAGTATAACAAATTAGATTTTAGCAAATAAAATTTTAATCAATATAAGTACATAGATTGTTATTAAATCTTGAAATTTTGTTTAATGTCCAGTGCCTTCTTATTAACTCTTCTTTCCTTTCTTTGAATTGTCAGAGTTAAACCAGACCAGAAAGGCAATAGCAGTGATACTAAAAACAAAACAAAACAACAACAAGAACAACAAAAAAAAACCTTTGTAAATCTTGTCATCTACTTTGTGGTTTAATGGAACTCACATTTTCTTTCATTAGAGGATAGCATATGGGAATGAAGCTTGTGGTTGGAGGGCAATATGGGCGGGAAAAACAAAGGGAAAGGAGTTCCTAAGTAATATCTTAGTTAATAATTTCTCTCATATTAATAAATCCTGTCAATTAATGATGACTTGTCTTTCCTTGGGACGTTTTCCCTTGCAATCTATGCCCTTTTCACTTATTTTGGTTGTACTATTTTGACTTATTTAGGTAATATGTATTTTAAATTATTTTGTATTTTTTTCTTATAGTTATCTCAAGTTAAGAACTCATACAGTATGTTTGAACCTCAGTTCAGCAAAATAGAAAAGTGCAATTTTACTCCACCATCTTTTTCAGCAGAATTATCTTCTCACAGACATATTCCAAAACAAAATTTAATTCCCAGAATAGCATCTAGTCCTCAGAGTCTTGTATATGAAAAAAAGCAAGATGGGCAGGTAACTTTGAATTTTATTTTTATCATATACTGTTTTATCATATACTTTATAAAATATATGTATATATATTTTATCTATATATTTTATATATGTATATATATTTATATATGTATATATTTTTTATAAAATATATGTATATTTTTATACATATAAAAATATACATATATTTTATCATATACTTTTTTTTATCATATACTACTTCTGTTTTTTATAGATTTTAAAAGTGTAGCCTGCAAATTAGTACAGATTAGAAGTACCAAATTGTACCAAATTAGAAGATAATTAAGGATGATTCATTCCTCTTAGATCAAAAGCTTAATTTTCTGTGCTCTAGAAAATTATGAATAGAAAACCAAGGAATGTTCTTCACTACCTTAGAAATTATCATTCATTTTAGAAAATTATTGATAGCAAATTTGAAAATAATTCAGTCTGTTTTATAGCAGTTTATGTTATGATCACTGTAAGTCAATAGTTTATAGATGTCATGGCAACTCGGTTTGCATGATATAGAAGGCATCCTGTGATGACATAGTCTCAGTGAAGACATAGTAGTTAGTCTCTTAAAGTATGAGTTGTGGTGGCTTGATTGGTTTTATGATTTAAAGATGACATCTGTTTATGAGTACTTCAATTAATGTACAAATTTATTCTTTTTTGTGTGTGTGTGTGGTGGTACTGGGAACCTAGATGCACTCTCCTACTGATCTATATCCCCAGCCCTCTTTGCTTTTTATTTTGAAAAAGGCCCTCACTAAGTTTCTGAGGCTGGCTTCAAACTTGTAATCTTCCTGCCTCTGTCTCCTGAGTTGTTGGAATTACAGGCATGTGCCCTCTCACCCAGCTACATATATAGAAATATGTGGCAATGTTACATAGCAGATACTACAATGCTTAATCACAGTTTTCTACAGTTAAAATATTAAAAAAATCCAAATTCTAATATATGTTTGTCATAGAACATATAAGGGAATGATTTACTAAATATATATAGATTTAGAAATTTAAATTATTGAAGTTACTATACTAATGTACAATGGTAATGAAGAAAATGGCTATATAAGCATTATATTTTATTAACAAGGATATTAATTTTAGATTTCTCCCAACTTTTAGCTTGCAGTGGTTTATACCATATTTGTATGTACATTATCTATAAGTAAATTTATAATAAATTTATGATTTATAAGTTCATAAATCATTTTAGTTAAATACTATACTATATTATAGATAAATATAATATAGTTAATTATGATGATTTTTTAAAGTGTTTATTAAAGGATGATTTGCTGTTTCTTGGAGAGAAATGAAAAAAATTAAAGAACCTAATAATTTTTGAATGATGCAATTAAGGATATTCAACAACCCATTTGTTTTGTATTTTTAAAATTTTATTTGATGGGTTCTTTTTAGTTATACATATTGGTAGAATCCATTTTGATATAATTATATCAGCATGGAATATGTCTTATTCCAATTAGAACCCTAATATCTTTCCTTTACTTTCCCTTTCCCCACCCCTCTTCCCTTTCCTTTATTGAGCTTTCTGCTATTTTCCCATGATTATGTTTATTTTTTAAATTAATTAATTGTGGATGTACACGATGGTGACATTCACTGTGGTGTATTCATGTATGTATATAAGAAAATAACATCAGATTCATTCCACTGTCTTTTGTTTTCCTATCCCTCCTCCATTCTCTTTATTCCCCTTTTTCTAATCCCACTGAACTTCTTCTATTTCTGCCCCCTCCCACACACCTTTTTGTGGATTAGCTTCCACATATTAAAGAAAACATTCAACCTTTGTCTCCCTTTGTAGATTAACTTGTAACTTATCCTTGCTCTATTAGCTTGTAAGATGGAGAATAAAACACTGTGATTTCTATGTAACCAATCTCTTCCTTACCTGTTACATATTATACACTATAGGTTAGCAATTAATTCCAAATAGGTAAATAACATACCTACTATGGTAGAAGACTGGAAAGAGAAGCTAATGTCCTTCTCCACGTTGTAGTGTCATATTTTTCGTTCTTAGAAAAATATTTAATAGATTATTTATGGAGATTTCTAGAAAAGTAAGAAAAATTAAAATGAAGTATTCTCTTCTTTCTCTGTTTTACTCTTTTGTGGTGCTGGGTATCAAATCTAGAGCCTCATGCATGCCCAGCAAGTACTCTGCCCCTCCACTCCTCTTTTGGTTTTTTATTTCTCACTTCAAAGTTAACTTTGTTTCTGCTCCTCTGTCACTGTTTTGAGACTAAGATATATTTGTTAGCCATCTTCTGACTTTGGTCTTTGTTTGTTGTTTGTTTGTTTTCCAAAGACATTCAGTGTCTCAATTTTCCTTTTCTTTATTTTTAAATTTTGTGATAGGGTCTTACTATGTGGCCAGGTTGATCTTCAAACTCCTGCATTAAAGTGATCCTTATGTTTCTGTGCTGGCATTGCAGGTGCTCACCACCACTACCACCTCAACTCTGCTCTTTTTGTTTTCTGTTTTTATAATTGATTGTCTTTGGACTTCTCATTTTTATTGTTCCTGGGTTTAAAATTAAATATACTACAGTTATAAATTATCCTTACTGAATAGATTAGTGTTGGGTAAAAATGAAGTAAGTTTATATAGAAACTTCCACACTAACAAATGGATGTTTTTTATGCTTTAATAGTCTTCATAGTCTTATCCCTATTTTTTACCGAATGATATAGATATTCAGAAAAATTAAAGTAGTAGTCTAAAATTACAGTAAATGGAAGAACTGAGACCAGTGTAGCTGTTTCCTTGAAACAAACTACTATTTTCTATCAGAAACTTAACATTTAGTTATTGGAGATTCTGGTGTTCTGTGTGTTTGTTTATTTTTATAATCTTTTTTTAACTGAGAAAAATGTTAATTCACCATAGTATTAACTCTCTTATTTTAACAATCATTTAAATACTGATATTAATTTGTTGGTGGCTTTTACCTTCATTGTGCTATGGAGGCAATTGTTAGAACAGTATTTTGTTTCAAAAGGAACTAAAATTACTTTCTATTAGACTAAAAGATACATTTCTGAATATAGATGCTGTTCACTTAAATGACATTTTTTTTGTGTGAGCAAGTGAAATTCCATGTATGTACATTTACTATTTTAATGTTTTTTTCCTATTTTTCTAGCTCAACAATGTGGATGGTTCTAATTCTTTGGTTTCCAAAATAAATGAAAGTCAAGATGAACTCAGTTCATCATATAAACCAGCACAATTTGGAACATTATTTGAAAGATTAAACAGGTAAGCAAAGATGCTGAAGAAAATGAAGATGTAGGATTCTCTACTCTCAGTTATTAATCTAATCTTTTTTTAAAAATTTTTATTATTGGTTGTTCAAAACATTACATAGTTCTTGACATATCATATTTCTTACATTAGATTCAAGTGGGTTATGAGCTCCCATTTTTACCCCATATACAGATTGCAGAATCACATCGGTTACACATCCACTGTTTTACATATTGCCATACTAGTGTCTGATGTGTTCTGCTGCCTTTCCTATCCTCTATTATCCCCCCTCCCCTCCCCTCCCCTCCCATCTTTTCTCTCTACCCCAGATACTGTAATTCATTTCTCTCCCTTGTTTTTTTTCCCTTTCCCCTCACTTCCTCTTATATGTAATTTTGTATAACTATGAGGGTCTCCTTCCATTTTTATGCAATTTCCCTTCTCTCTCCCTTTCCCTCCCACCTCTCATCCCTGTTTAATGTTAATCTTCTTCTCATGCTCTTCCTCCCTGCTCTGTTCTTAGTTGTTCTCCTTATATCAAAGAAGATATTTGGCATTTGTTTTTTAGGGATTGGCTAGCTTCACTTAGCATAATCTGCTCTAATGCCATCCATTTTCCTGCAAATTCCATGACTTTGTCATTTTTTAGTGCAGAGTAATACTCCATTGTGTATAAATGCCACATTTTTAATCCATTCATCTATTGAAGGGCATCTAGGTTGGTTCCACAGTCTAGCTATTGTGAATTGTGCTTCTATGAACATTGATGTAGCAGTATCCCTGTAGTATGCTCTTTTTAGGTCTTTAGGGAATAGACCGAGAAGGGGAATAGCTGGGTCAAATGGTGGTTCCATTCCCAGCTTTCCCAGGAATCTCCATACTGCTTTCCAAATTGGCCACACCAATTTGCAGTCCCACCAGCAATGTACAAGAGTACCCTTTTCCCCACATCCTCGCCAGCACTTGTTGTTGTTTGACTTCATAATGGCTGCCAATCTTACTGGAGTGAGATGGTATCTTAGGGTGGTTTTGATTTGCATTTCTCTGACTGCTAGAGATGGTGAGCATTTTTTCATGTACTTGTTGATTGAGTGTATGTCCTCCTCTGAGAAGTGTCTGTTCAATTCCTTGGCCCATTTGTTGATTGGGTTATGTGTTTTCTTATTGTTTAATTTTTTGAGTTCTTTGTATACTCTGGATATTAGGGCTCTATCTGAAATGTGTGGAGTAAAAATTTGTTTCAGGACGTAGGCTCCCTATTTATCTCTCTCATTGTTTCTCTTGCTGAGAAAAAACTTTTTAGTTTAAGTAAATCCCATTTGTTGATTCTTGTTATTAACTCTTGTGCTATGGGTGTCCTATTAAGGAAATTGGAGCCCGATCCCACAATATGTAGATCAGAGCCAACATTTTCTTCTATTAGACGCAGAGTCTCTGATTTGATATCAAGCTCTTTGATCCATTTTGAGTTAACTTTTGTGCATGGTGAGAGAAAGGGATTCAGTTTCATTTTGTTGCACATGGATTTCCAGTTTTCCCAGCACAATTTGTTTAAGATGCTATCCTTCCTCCATTGCATGCTTTTAGCACCTTTATCAAATATAAGATAGTTGTAATTTTGTGGATTGGTCTCTGTGTCCTCTATTCTGTACTATTGGTCCACTTGCCTGTTTTGGTACCAGTACCATGATGTTTTTGTTACTATTGCTCTGTAGTATAGTTTGAAGTCTGGTATCACTATACCGCCTGATTCACCTTACCTGCTTAGAATTGTTTTTGATATTCTGGGTCTTTTATTTTTCCATATGAATTTCATGATTGCTTTCTCTATTTCTACAAGAAATGCCGTTGGGATTTTGATTGGCATTGCATTAAACCTATAGAGAACTTTTGGTAATATTGCCATTTTGATGATGTTAGTTCTGCCTATTCATGAACAGGGTATATTTTTCCATCTTGTAAGATCTTCTTCTATTTCTCTCTTTAGGATTCTGTAGTTTTCATTGTATAAGTCTTTCACCTCTTTTGTTAGGTTGATTCCCAAGTATTTTATTTTTTTTTTTGAGGATATTGTGAATGGGGTGGTTATTCTCATTTCCATTTCAGAGGATTTGTCGCTGATATACAGGAATGCCTTTGATTTATGCGTGTTGATTTTATATCCTGCCACTTGGCTGAATTCATTTATTAGCTCTAGTAGTTTCTTTGTAGACCCTTTTGGGTCTTCTAGGTATAGAATCATGTCACCCGCAAATAGTGATAATTTAAGTTCTTCTTTTCCTATTTTTATGCCTTTAATTTCTTTTGTCTAATTGCTCTGGCCAGTGTATCGAGAACTATGTTGAACAGAAGTGGTGAGAGAGGGTATCCCTGTCTTGTTCCAGATTTTAGAGGGAATGCCTTCAATTTTTCTCCATTCAGAATGATGCTAGCCTGAGGCTTAGCATAGATAGCTTTTACAATATTGAGGTATGTTCCTGTTATCCCTAGTTTTTCTAGAGTTTTGAACATAAAGGGATGCTGTACTTTGTTGAATGCTTTTTCTGCATCTATCGAGATGATCATATGGTACTTATCTTTAAGTCTACTGATGTGGTGAATAACATTTATTGATTTCCAAATATTGAACCAGCCTTGCATCCAGGGATGAATCCTACTTTATCATGATGCACGATCTTTTTGATATGTTTCTGTATTCGATTTGCCAGAATTTTATTGAGGATTTTTGCATCTATGTTCATTAGAGATATTGGTCTGTAGTTCTCTTTCTTTGAAGTGTCTTTGTCTGGTTTAGGAATCAGGGTGATGTTGGCCTCATAGAATGAATTTGGAATTTCTCCCTCTTTTTCTATTTCCTGAAATAGCTTGAAAAGTATTGGTATTAGTTCTTCTTTAAAGGTTTTGTAAAACTCTGCTGTATACCCATCCTGTCCTGGGCTTTTCTTTGTTGGTAGTCTTTTGATGGCTTCTTCTATTTCTTAGATTGATATTTTTCTGTTTAGGTTGTGTATAACCTCCTGACTCAATCTGGGCAGATCATATGACTTAAGAAATTTATCGATGCCTTCACTATCTTCTATTTTATTGGAGTATAAGGATTCAAAATAATTTCTGATTATCTTCTGTATTTCTGAAGTGTCTGTGGTGATATTGCCTTTTTCATCCCATATGCTAGTAATTTGAGTTCTCGCTCTTCTTCTCTTCATTAGCATAGCTAAGGGTCTGTCGATCTTATTTATTTTTTCCAAGAACCAACTTTTAGTTTTGTCAATTTTTTCAATTGTTTCTTTTGTTTAAATTTCATTGATTTCAGCTCTGATTTTAATTATTTATTGCCTTCTACTACTTTTGCTGTTGTTTTGCTCTTCCTTTTCTAGGATTTTGAGATGAAGTGTGAGATCATTTTTTTGTTGGTTTTTTTCTTTTTTTAAGGAATGAACTCCAAGCAATGAATTTTCCTCTTAGAACTGCTTTCATTGTGTCCCATAGATTCTGATATGTTGTGTCTGTGTTTTCATTTATCTCTAAGAATTTTTTAATTTCCTCCTTGATGTCTTCTGTAACCCATTGATCATTCAGTAACCTATTGTTTATTCTCCAAGTGATGCATGATTTTTCCTTCCTTCTTTTATTGTTTATTTCCAGTTTCATTCCATTATGATCAGATAGGATGCATGGTATTATCTCTACTCCTTTATAATTTCTAAGAGTTGCCCTGTGAAATACTATATGATCTATTTTTGAGAAGGATCCATGTGCTGCAGAGAAAAAAGTGTAACTGCTTGGTGTTGGGTGGTATATTTTATATATGTCAATTAAGTCTAGGTTATTAATTGTATTATTGAGTTCTATAGTTTCTTTATTCAACTTTTGTTTGGAAGATCTGTCCAGTGGTGAGAGAGGTGTGTTGAAGTCTCCCATAATTATTGTATGGTGGTCTATTAGACTCTTGAACTTGAGAAGAGTTTGTTTGATGAACATAGCTGCACCATTGTTTGGGGCATATATATTTATGATTGTTATGTTTTGTTGGTGTATGTTTCCCTTGAGCAGTATGTAGTGTTCTTCTTTATCCCTTTTGATTAACTTTGGCTTGAAGTCTATTTTATTTGATATGTGTATGGACACTCCTGCTGGTTTCCGAGGTCCATATGAGTGATATGACTTTTCCCAACCTTTCACCTTCAGCCTATGTATGTCTTTTCCTATCAGATGCATCTCCTGTAGGCAGCATATTGTTGGATTTTTTTTTTTTTTTTGTGATCCATTCTACTAGCCTATGTCTCCTGATTGGTGAGTTTAAGCCATTAACATTTAGGTTTATTATTGAGATATGGATTGTACTTCCAGCCATATTTGTTTATTTATGTTACTTAACATGGTTTGTTTTTCCTCTTTGATTATTTTTTCCCTTTACTGTACTACTTCCGCTGTTGGTTTTCATTGTTATTTTCCATTTCCTCTTCCTGTAATGTTTTGCCAAGGATGTTTTGGAGAGATGGTTTTCTAGCTGTAAATTCTTTTAACTTTTGTTTATCGTGGAAGGTTTTAATTTCATCTTCCATCCTGAAGCTTAATTTCGCTGGAAACACAATTCTTGGTTGGAACCCATTTTCTTTCAGCGTTTGAAATATATTGTTCCAGGATCTTCTAGCTTTCAGAGTCTGTGTTGAAAGATCAGCTGTTATCCTGATTGGTTTACCCCTAAATGTAATCTGCTTCCTTTCTCTTGTAGCTTTTAAAATTCTCTCCTTATTCTGTATGTTGGGTATCTTCATTATAATGTGTCTGGGTGTGGATCTCTTATGATTTTGCACATTCGGCGTCTTGTAGGGTTCTAGGATTTGGGAGTCTGTTTCATTCTTCAAGTCTGGGAAGTTTTCTCGTATTATTTTGTTGAACAGATTGTTCATTCCTTTGGTTTGGACCTCTATACCTTCCTGTATCCCAATAACTCTTAAGTTTGGTCTCTTTATGTTATCCCATATTTCTTGGATGTTCTGCTCATGGTT